ACCACCATGCCACCTGCTGGCCTTCTTAAGTGATTCTTATAACCAGACAAGTTTGAGAACAAGTGACTAACTGTAGTGCTATGTCTAATTATTTTCCTAGTACTTTTTAGTACTTTTTTTTTAGGTTTTTGCGATAAAGCATGTATGCACACTGAAGAGAGACAGAGACATAGAGAGGGAAAGTGAGGAATCACTCCCCACCCCGAAGGCGGATGGCCATGCAGCACTCTCCTCCACTCTCCTCTCAGGATTTTGGGCATGCATGCAAGCACGCAAATGGCGTGATTTTTTTTTTTTGTAGAGATATTTTTTGCTAAAGGTCATGTATGCTCACCAGAGAGACAGAGAGAAACAAAGAGACAGAAAGAGAGAAATCATCCCCTAGAGTGGATGATCACACAGCAATCTTTTCTCTTCCATTCTCCTCTAGGGATTTGGAGCATGCACGCACACATACCCAGCGAGAGTTTTAAGCCACTGGGTGCAGGACTCAAACCACAGTCAACTATGTGTGAATCCAGTGACCTAACCATTATGAAATCCGCTGGTCCGAACGGCCTGATTTTAAGCTGCTGGGTAGGGACTCAAACTGTGTCTGGCCATGTGAAATCCACCACACCACCTTAACCATCACGCCACCTGCTGGTCCTCTATTACTTTCAATATTTCAGACTCTCATGAGCCTACATAATAAACTATCCATTGAAAAGTCTATGCCTCATTTTATCTATCTCTCCTCTTCTTTGGAAAAACATAGTAATAATAACTGTGAGCAATAATATAAAGTAGTAACATAAGAATAGTATTATGATATAAAGAAACACTGGAAAATAATAGATTCTTATGATTATACAGATAGTTTAAATTTAGCCGTCATTTTCTGGACACTAGCCTAGCTGAACTTGAAAACTAGGATGAATAAGGACATCACGTTTTCTCCTTCTTCATCCCTCTCTCTACTCAATGCCATAATCCTCCAGCCTCCAGTAGTTGTTTTTGTTTTTTGGGGGGTTTTTTGTGTTTTTTTTTTTTGCCATAGAGTGGGTGCCAACATGCCCCTTCATCTCTCTCTATAAATCCTCTGTCTTTCTTATCAACTTCTTCTTGGAGATCCCAAGACAGCAATTACCAGATTGAATACAAAGTTAGAAGTGGCTTCTGACCATCACTGTCAACCACCTTCCCTAGTTGACTATTGAAATAGCTGCTGACAGCTGCTCCCAACTTACTAGGAAGCCATGGATCAGTTAACACTGCTTCTCTGAAAAACAGAAACAGCCTTGTTTGTCCAGCCCATCTGAGGAGTTATTGTATTAATTAAAGGTACGAGAAAGAACTTTGCAAATATAACATTTTCCATAAATTTAAGATGTATTATTAACTTTTGTAGTAATACTATTAATAAATATTAGAAATATGCAATATAGAAGATCCTCAAGTTAAATATTCAATATCTAAGTTCAATATCTAGATATAAAATATCTATTAAACTTAATATTCAAAATCTAAGTTCAGAAGTCTCTGTTTAAAATGTTGTGGACACATACACACATAACCCTACCTTCTACTCATTCTAGCCAGTACTTAAAAAGCATGCTAGGTTTTACTAAATAAGGATTGAGTGTTATATAACCTGTGTCTATAAAAGTATATCAGAAAAGCTAAGTGAGGCTTTAAAAGCAAACACACTGAGCTTCATGTTTTAACTCAAAGAAAAGCAAAGTTTAAAAATAGAAAATACTAATTTTACCAAATTATAGCCAGATAAAATTTAAAGTTTAAGGTGTTTTTATCCCTACAAGTCATTTTTGGATGGAAGCTTTTGTTCTTCTAACAGTTCTGGGTCTGAGAGAATTTCTAAATAAAAAACAGCTATGAAATGTCCCACAAAAGCAAAGATTTATTATATCCCAGCTGTCTCCATTCAGCCCCTATCAACAATTCCTATTAGAAATTACCATTATCTAGGAGCTAGTAGGTGGTGTGGTGGTAAACAGGCTCTGCACTCCAACATGGCCAATCCCATGGTTTGAGTCCCAGACCTGGTGGCTTGTTTCCTCTTTTCCCTTTCTCTCTCTCTCTCTGTCTCTCTCTGGTTGAATTAAAAATAAATAATAATAAAAAATAAAATTAAATAAATAAATAATTTTTAAAAAGAAATTATCATTATCACCACAGTGCCATGATTATAGAAAGAAAATTAGTGCAATAAACATTTTAGTGATAAGATTAAAGATCAAGGACACATGAGAATTTATTATTTGAGCACTTTTATTTATTTAGGCGAACTTGAATCTCCGTTAAACCCACAAAGTTAAATCAATAGCTAGGATAAACAAAGGGAAAAAATGAATTAATGGCTTATCCTCAAGGAAAACATCAGGAATACTCTAGTTTATTCTAAATAATGGGAACCTCCAAATATAACAATGATAGGTAGATATTAATAGCCATTATTTGGGGGAATGTAAGGACTAGCACTTTTTGTTTTATAAGTATTGATTTAAATTTCCTTTTTTTTCCTTCTTCAATTATTCAATCATTCTAAACACAAGCTTATACATTATGAAGCATTAGAAATATATGTAATATGATAGATGTCTTCAAGAGCTTCTAGTATAGTTGGAAAGACAGATAATACACAAGTAAACATATTAGTCAAATAGATTTCATGAGGATAATTAGGGTATAAAGATGAAGAATGGTGTGGAAAGAGACTGGAGCAGTTACTTCAAATGTTTAGGGAACTTTCTTTGAGAACATAAAATTTGACCCTAGATTCAGAGGATGAGAAGGAGCCACCAGATAAAAAGTGGAGAGGAGGACTTCAGACAGAAAGAGCAATGTATCTGAAGCTCCAAAGAGGTTACAAACTTGGCCTACATGAGGAACTAAAAGGAAAACAGAATAAATACAGCACCATGAATGAAGAGAAGCAGGAATGGTATAAGATAATATTAGATAAGTTGACAGGATAAGACCTATGTGAGGTGTAGCAGAGATAAAGAGTTGAAATTATCCAGAAAAAATCAAGAGAATGCATAAGGATCAAAAGAATCATCTAACTGGATACTCAACATAGTAATAACTTGAAATTTTCTATTTTAAACTTTCAAAATATAAAAAACATATCTTACCATATCCTTATATAGTCCTTTTATCCTTCTACTCTTCTCCCCCCCCAAAAAAATGTGAATTTCTTATAAAGAGCATAAAATAGGATTTTGTATTTTAACCCAGTTTGACACTCTGTTTTTTAACTAGTATGTTTAGACCATTTACATTTATTATAATTACATACATGACTTAATTAAAAACTTCCATCTTGTTGTTTTCTGTCTGTTCCATTTGTTCTTTCATGGAGAAGAGACTACCAATACATATTCCCTGTATCTGTGGTTCCCAGGAGTGCTACACACTCACACTAACTCAGCCTTAACCTTTAACAACTCATTAATAATTTTACCTGAATTTTTCTTAATAGCTAGTAGTGTTTACATTTTTCTCTATGCTCTGCTACATCCTCACATTTTGTATTTCCTTGGAGGTATCTATCTTTCCTTAGATTTTAGGTTCACTCCCTACAATTTCAGCTCTCCGAAGAAGTCAAAAAAGCTGTAGGTTGTATATTGTTTGGCTTCTTCTTGTGAGTACAGAATTGATTCTGTGTCCAGATTTTTATACTGTAGGCACCCTGTCTTAATTCAAGCTATTATATTATAGAAAATGCAATGGCCTGGTTGGGTTACAAACAATGGAAATTTATTTCTCACGGTAATGGAGGCTAGACATCTGAGATCAGAGTACCACCATGGTCAGATTCTGGTGAGGGCCCTCTTAAGACTTACAGACAGTTAACTTCTTGTTATTTCTTCGCATAGTAGAGAGACAGCTAAGAACTCCATCTGGGGTCTCTTTTATAAGAGTACTAATCCTCTTCATGAGAACTTCGTACTCCTGATTTAACTGATTTCCCAAGGCCATACCTCCAAATACTATCACAGTAGGGGTTAGAATCTCAACATATGAATTTGAGGATGACATAAACATTCAGTTTATTGCAAGCTATTCATATGAGTTTTGAAGATGGGAAATTATAGGGACACCAAAGCAGTTTAAATTCAAATATAAAAGTTGCCTAATTATAATAAAACCCTACTCTCTATATAGAGTTCTGAGTGACCAAAAAAAAAAAAGAACTAAACTAAAAAACAAATTATTTATTTAAAACAGAGAAAATATTTTTCAGCCAGGGGGTTATAAATGTTTTAGAAGAGATTAATAGGTGCAATGATCAATAAAGTGTGGTTAGTAAGAAACAAAATTATTTAACCTGATCGGAAATAATGCTAACATAATTGATCAACTGAGAATTATTTTAAGTCAAGTTTAAGATTTCCTGCCCAATGAAACATTAAAACTGCTACCATGGTGGTTAAGATGGCAGAATCCCACATGGCAACTGCACAGTTTGAGTCCCAGACTGGGCAGCTTGAGAGGCTTGCCAGGAATGTGTGTGCATGCTTAAAATCCCAAGCAGAGAATGGAGAAGAAGGGATTGTGGCATGGCCATCCCCCTGGGAGTGTTTTCTCACTTCTCTGTTTCTCCTTGTCTCTGTCTCTCTCTCCTTCCCCATAGCCAAAATTTGAAGAAAAAAAAAAAGTTACTTTGCTTGGGCAGGCAGTATGGCTGGAGGTTAAGGCTACTGATCCCACATGGCTATCCCAATGTTGGAGTCCTGAATCCAGAAGCTTGAGAAACACACCAGGCCCCTGTCCATACCCATCCAAAATCCCAAAAGGAAGGAGAGATGGAGAAGGGATTGCAGCATGACCTTTCCCCATGGTTTCTTCTCTCCCTGTCTTTCTACCTCTTTCTGGTGACCACACATGCCTTCTAGCACAACAAAAAAGTTACCATGCTAAAATACGAATGCGAAGCACAAACCTCAAGGCATTGCAGGGTGTTAGTTTCTAATTGGTGTCATGATTTCTTCCAGATTACTCCAGGAAGCAAGGCGGCAGCTGCCAACCTGTGTCCTGGCGATGTCATCCTGGCTATCGATGGCTTTGGTACAGAGTCCATGACTCATGCAGATGCACAGGACAGGATTAAAGCAGCAGCACACCAGCTGTGCCTCAAAATTGACAGGTGCTCCGTAATTACCGGTGTTAAAATTTGATCTGTTTTGCAGGCAAACCTGAGCCAGCACTATAAATGGTTTCAGCCTCCCAGGGAGAAGTAGTGTCATGGGACCTAGAATGTGGACAGACTTTTTCTTCAGTTTGTTCTTCACTAAAGTCTGTCAATCTGGTAGTTGTTGACAGACTGTTTATAAAAATAATTTCCTGGAATGTCAAAATACGGAAGAGGCCAAAAGAATTTTTTTCTTGTACTTAACACAGTTAATTGACTATAAAAATAGAACCACATAAACACGGAGAAGCATGAGTAGCTGTACTGCTGTTCTCATCATGATACAGAATGGAATGAAATAAAGAGAATCTCCTAAAATAATTTTTTTCCCTTAAAAACATCTCTCAAAAATTTCTTCAAAAATCTCTCTCTTGAGAGATTTTTGCTATAGGCCATGTGCACTTGCCAGAGCGATACAGAGAAGACAGAAAGACAGAAAGTGAGACATCACCCTCCAGGGGGGATGGCCACACAGCAATCCCTTCTCCTCCACTCTCTTCTCAGGATTTTGGGCACACGCATACATGTACCCAGCGTGAGTTTTAAACCACCGGATCCAGGACTCAAACCACAGTCAACTATGTGGGAGTCTAGTGACATAACTAATATCCTATATGCCTTTGACTGTTTTGCACAGGATTTGGTTGAAAAGATTTATGAGTTACAAGCATACATGTGCACATGAATGTGTAAGATAAAAAAAAAACTAAGAAATTGAACTTGATCTCTATCAGAGCCCTGATCTAAAATGGTATCATGAAAGTACTGACCTGTTATAGGGGTGTGGTCAGTGCATTTATCCTGTTGCTATTGTATTCACAATTTTCCCTGCTGTGGTAAGGAAGGGCTCAGTTAATCAACCAATGTGTATTTCATGGTATGAAACAGCCTCCTTCTCTATGTATAAGTGTGTTCTTGCCAAGTACCAAGTCCTGTAGGAGCCACATGGTCCCAGGGAGATGTATGAGAAGGGTGGGGCAAGACACATTTCCTTGATGATGACAGCAAATCTACCTGGCAGACCACCCACTGGCTCCTGGGCAGCCTGGGTAGAGTAGGAAGTAGGGGGACCTAAGGAGTTTGCCTATGGTCACCTGCAGGGGAGGCCTCCAGCATCCCCCTCTCTTGTACTGTCTTCCACATGCGATAGAGAATTACTTTCTCTAAAAGCTGCACAATATACTCTGGGCAGTTCTGATCAATTCTAGATTCCCCAGAAAGATCTTTAAAAGGCATGACAAATGTGATGGAGAAATATAGAACAATAAGACGAACTATTGCTTGTGTTTAAATAACAGGGCTACTAGTATTTTCATATACAGAATGGAAAATTGAAGTATACTAAGACCAGAAGCATACCGTATGGGAAGAGGGTGGGAGAAGGAAGAGAGTAAGGAAAGACCTTAAGGAGAAAAATAAAGAGGCGAAACATTTATAGGACACAGAAATAATTATAATCTGCTAATGATAACGTGTATAGTATCCCCGAGTGGACTGGTGTGAAATGGATTCATGCTGGAAAAGTCACTTTACAACCTAAGAGATGCATAGCAATTGAATATATAAAATAAATTAAAAGAAAAGAAAATATATTTTAAAAAAAGAATTAGGAGTTTATGAACTTTGTGTTTACCTTGCAGGGCGGAAACCCGCTTATGGTCTCCACAGGTATCTGAAGAAGGGAGAGCTCATCCTTTCAAAATCAACCTAGAATCAGAACCACAGGTATGGACTTTAGAGTTAATGATATTGCACTGTATTTCCTTCTAAATGATGGGTGGGAGGTGCCTTCCAAGAGGAGGAGGAGACAAATATAAAAATTACAAGTCACCAGGTGAAGCAGTTGTCTGGTTTATACTCTGGTATTCATTTATATTATCCTCATTTTCTCACATCCAGAAAATAAAAACAAATATGCTTAAGAGCATATCTTCTTAAAAAGACAAATATGTTCTCATCAGGAAGGATTTGGCTAAATCTACACTGAGTTCACTTTTTTTGTTCTCGTGATAGACTTCTGCCACATGTCTAGGAAGTAATTTAAAAGTTTAAATCGCTAAACTTCTCATTAACTTTCTTCATTATTATTACAAAGGTCATTACAAATTACATTGGATTAAAGCTTTATTTACAGTTAAGATACAATTTCCCCAGGAGGAGACCAGACACATTCTGTGTATTATAATCTTTAGCAGGAACAAGTCTATTGGCTTTTTATCCTAGATGGAAGAACATAAAAATAGTGCCCACCACTTGAAACGAGTGTATCTAATCCAGTAGGTGCTAGAACATCCGCTTTTAAGGTCTTCACTCAGATCTTATTTGGTATCCTTCTTTAATTCCCATTCTGGCATGCTCTGATTAAGTTAACTCTAGGAAAAGAGTTTGCATTATGTTCTCATGGTGATTATCTGTCTCTGCCTCTCAATTACAAAAAATAAAGGATTTTCCCTTGAGGAAATGCTATCTAATAAACTAAATTAATGTAATAATCGGAGCCTTATCTGACTATGTCTGCTTTCTAAAGATTAAAAAATAAAAAAAGAACCTGAAATTGAATCAAATCTCAATTGTGAGATACTAAAAAAATCTAATTAAGAAAAAGATTTAAATCTTCTATTGAGCAGCTCCCAAGGCTTCGAATACAGAAATATAACTTTAATATCCTTTTTGAAACAAGTATTTCTACTAAACTGATTAGATAGTCCCAGCATGTAGTTTTTTAATATACCAAACAAAAATGAACCAAAGATATAGTTATCATTTATGCTTTAGAGTGCTTCTCTGGGATTGTCACTTCCTGAATTTGCCCTTCAAGTTTCCTACTTGTATTCATAAGCCTCTGGGTTTTTTTCTGTGTAAAAAAATGTGAAGGTACTCCAAAAGGTTTATTTGAAAAAAAAAGTGGAATTAAAATACAATTTTATTTTGGTACACACCAAAAAATATCAAAATCCATGCAGTTTTCTGATAACACACATTTTTCCATCAACTTCTTGAAGGCTCCTTGTAGGTACAGAATAACATAAGTGTATGTATCTTATAGAAGTTCTCAAAGATTTAAATAAAGTAACACAAAAAAAGAAGTTGGGGGAACCAGCAGTTAGCGTAATGGCTATGTCGCTGGACTCCCATGTAGACGACCACGGTTCGCGTCCTGGACCCGGTGGCTTAAAACTCACGCTGGACGTGTGTGCGTGCGTGCCCAAGATCCCGAGAGGAGAATGGAGAAGGGATTGCGGCGTGACCATCCCCACTGGGGGGTGCTTTCTCGCTTTCTGTCTCTATGTCTCTCTCTGTCTGTCTGGCGAGTGCATGCGCCCTATAGTGAAAACTTCAAAAAAAAAAAAAAAAACTACGTAAAAAAAAAAAAAAAAAGAAGAAGTTGGCACAGTAGTCTCAAAAACAAATATATAAATCAAAACAAACTTAGATGGGGCCATCAGATGGCATAATGGTTACATCACATGTAGTTGACCATGGTTTGAATCCTGGACTTGGTGGCTTAAAACTCATGCCAGGTGCGTGTGCGTGTGCGTGCATGCCCAAAGGAGAAGGGATTGTGGCATGGCCATCCCCCTGGAGGGATGATGTCTCACTTTCTGCCTCTCTGTCTCTCTCGTAAGTACACATGCCCAATAGCAAAAATCTCTCGCAAAAATGATTTTTTTTTTTAAGTTGGCTCATTCAATCGTCCATAGAGCTACTTAGAAAAGCGATGGCTCTTGTCAGAGTTAGTGCAGTAGCCCACTGCCTCCAGATGCTCGGAAGGCCTCCCAGCCTTTCTCGTGCTGAGATAGGACGCTGCCTATGCGGCAGGACTCCTGAGAGGTCAGGGATGGCTTCTTCCTGATTAGTACAAAGGTCATGACAAATTACTTCGGATTAAAGCTTTCTGTTCAGTTAAAATGCTACTTCCCCAGGAGAAGAAACATTCTGAGTACTATAATCTTTAGACGGAACAAGTTTATTCGGTTTTTACCCTAGAGTTAATTTTTTTAAAGATTTATCATATTTATTTATTTTCTCCATGAGCAAGAGAGACAGAGAAACAGCACCCACACCGAGATTCCCGTGCCAGGATCCGCCCCTAGCTTCAGCCACCCCTGGCCATGGGGAAGTGTCCAGCACAAACCTGGAACCTCCCCATCTGGGTCAGCCTCACAGAGCACCACTCTTTACCACTTGGCCATCATCCAGTCCTGTCCTACACTCTTAACTGAAAGGAATGTAGAGTTTGAGCCTAAAACCTGCTAAAGAGGAGAAAGAGTCAAACACTGAATATTCGCGAAGGCAATTCCTTCACACAGAGCCAGCCACCTGAGGCACAGCCAGCTGCTTGAGAATTAGCTGACAATGGAATGGAAGGAACTGCAGGCCCTAAAGAGAAACCGTGCATTTTCTAACATTGTCGGGGCCAGTCCTGGGAACCAACCCTCAGGATGGTATTCTGCCACCATCCCCAGCTGTTGTGTTGCATAAGTGATCTTGAAAGTTCTGTGGGATCAATGGTCAGGGAAGATGTCCCACTCTTTAGGATAAGTGAGCCAAAGATAAGAAGGACAGGACAGATAATACATGGAGTTAGAAGGGGTCTACACGCTGATGGTGGCTCAGCCAGGCACACTAGGTTTGTTGGTAAATAATAACACCTCTAATTGCTTCTTCTTTGATAGAGAAAATGAGGGAAAGATGAAAAAATAAAGATCTCAAGGCAGAACTGCACTCGTATTTAGCACATTGCAGTGATGCCAAGCCTACCTGCTTCCTCCCACCTTCATCAATTTGTTAGCGGCAACATATGAGAAAAGAGACTATATGATCCTTAAAAAAGTAAAATGGGGCCAGTAGGTGGCACAGATATTGAGGCAGCTGGAACCTGGCCTCTCCATGGTTCGAGTCCCAGACCCAGTGGCTTGAAAATCACACTGGGCACATGTACATGCATGCCCAAAATGCCAAGAGGAAAGTGGAAGAGAAGGGATTGCAGCATGGCCATCCTATCAGGGGGTGATTTCTCATTTTCTTTCTCCCTCTGTCTCTCTGAAGAGTGCACATGCTCAATGGCAAAAATCTAAAAACTTAACTAAGTAAAATGGAATTTAAGGTCTAAATATATGTATTTATAGACCACCCAGCCTCTTATTATCAGCAGGTCATAGCTGATATATCTATATTATTATCTATCTTTCTGATAGAATTCATTTCCTTATCTTGAGGTATAGTGAACCCTTTAACAAGTTACTTTTCTATTAAGATTTTCTAATTTTTGAAACTCAATTTCATCAAGATGAGATGGACTCTGACAGATTTTGCCAAAGTGCCTCATCTTGAGATCTTTAATCATACCTGCCATCTCCCATTTTGGCATGTAGGTGACCCAGCAAGGATTTATTACGCACTAGATAATTTTAGATCCCGATGGGAGCCTGTATTTTGCTAACATGTCTCCAGAATTGGAGTTTAAGGGTGATTCTGAGTTGTTAAAGATATAATCTAATTTTAAATACTCCAACCTCTTCTCAGTCTTGTATTGGCCAATTCTTCCTGCATTTTGGAGTTGAAAATATGAATATGATCCTACAATTGGGGAGGGAGGATAAGACTAGTTTAAAAAAAAAAAACGATGAAGCTTAGGTTAAGGGCTAGAACAGCATCACACAGAGCTGTGAAATATTGTATTAGTTTCTTACTGGCGTCCTTTCTGAGAGGCAAGTACTGGAAAGAAACATAGATAAGAACAATTACAGAATTCAGTAGGTGGCATAGAGAATAAGGCACTAGTTCTCACATGGCTGGCTTCATGGTTTGAGTCCCAGACCCTGCAGCTTGAAAATCACACTAGGCACATGCACATGCCTAAAATCCCAAGAGGAGAATGGAGAAGGGATTGTGGCATGGCCATCCCCCTTGGGGGCGAGGAGGTGATGGAACGATTTCTCACTTTCTCCCTCTCTATCTCTGGTGAGCACACACACTGTGTAATAAAAACTTTTAAAAAGAGTTCAGTTCTTTTCCTAGTGGACTGAAGAATCGCTCCTGTTTATGAGACTCTCAGGTTAGATTGTTCCATGGCCAATTCACATAGCAAGGTACTTCTTGGCAGATACTCTCCACACAAGATGGCTGAATCTCAATGAATCCTTAAAATGGTGTAGCATATACTATACAACAAAATGTGCTTAGAAAAATCAAATAGTGAATTTTTAAAATTATTTTATTTAACTTTATTTTAATTTGACTAGAAAGGAACAGAGTGAGAGAGAGAGAAAGAGGATGAGGAACCACAAGTCCAGAACTTGAATCACAGTTGGCCATGCACCCTTAACCACCATGCCACCTGCCAGCCCCTAAAATAATGAATTTAACTTGTGAGTAGAGAGTGAAGAAGAGTTAAGCTATGCTTATGTTTGTCTTGTCTTTTCTTCTTCTTCTCTCTCTCTCACTCTCTTTTTTCCAAAGAGAACTCCACAAATAAAACAACCTTCTGGACAACAAAATGTGTCAGTCTGAAAAATAAATGTAATTAATATATTGTGGTGTTTTTAAGAATTTTTTTTGGTTTTGGGTTTTTGTTTTTTGTTTGTTTGTTTGTTTGTTTGCTATAAGGGCACATGTGCAACACAGAGAAAGACAGACAGAAAAAGCCACCAAGGTCTGGGACTCGAACCTCAGCTGACCATATGGGAGTCCAATGACATAACCATTACGCCATCCGCTGGTCC